TAGATGGCCTTGAAAGGTCCCTTCCAACCCAAACTAGTCTATGATTCTATGTCTTCGTGGTTCTACTTCTCCCAGGAGACACCCAAGTTAAATCCTTTGCTAGAGCTGACCCTGAAACATAGAACGCTGTTCCATACCAGCAGTCAAAAAAATGAAGAGAGACAGAAAGAGTTTCACCCTTTTTAGGGCAGCAAGTGCTACTCTGGTTTGCAGCACTGACTCTGCAGAAACTCCCGTTTCCACAAAGAGGGTCCTCTTTACAGGGCTTTTTTGGCAATCAGCTTTACTCGACAGATGATTCACATTATCTTGCATTGCTTTGTTTTCACAGGGGTTTATATTTCCAAGTATGCAGACTGTCTTCATCCGAGACCCTGGTATCATGGAAAATCAGGCTATATTGTCATTTGTAAGCTAATTAAGGTAAAATGCAAGTCTTTTTGTGGAATGGTTTTCAGAAGCCGCTATGGAGTGCAAGCAGTTTTTAAGGACACATTGGTGCCCGTAACTGTGGCGGTGTGTAAAATCAGCTCTGTTGAGAGCTCGTTGGGATTTTTGACTATGGGATGTGTCAGGCTAGAAAGCAGGAATTCCAGCTGGCCTTGACTGGTGGCCTGCAGGGCTGCAGAGGATGCAGAGGACCTTCCAAATTCAACCACTGAGATCAGAAATTCCCCATAGGATCACTTTTTTCCCTGGACTTTCATGCATTTTGGGGGTTTGAGGAAAGGAGCCCTAAGGTGTCTCAGATCACGGCCCCATTCTATTCCTCCGTGGGGCTGGCGTGTGGCCTCTTTCTCCCCTCCCCACTGGCTCCCGCTCTCTGTAGCTGGCACCGAAAACATGCTGCTCCCATTTGCTCACCTGAGCAGTGCAGATTTGTCTGCCATGCCAAACTCTGCCAAGTCAGGCTCTCATGTTCGGAAGGACACAGACGCATGCAACCCTCTCACAGTGGTGGGGAGTGTGGGGCTGCCAGCAGCACTGTCTTTGGGGAAAAGGAGGATTCAGGGCTCTTAAAATAAGTTTCTGTGAACAATTATGTGTATTTTTTTCTTTTTTTCTTTTTTTTTTTTTTGGTAAATTTTCTGGCATAGGGCAAGGTCAAGGTGGTATCTGAGAATTACACAACCAGCTATACCTGCCCGTCTCCTGGCTATGACTGCCATGTCGCCATGAGCAGAAACAACATACCATCAAAGACCAGCCACTGCCAGGCCTTCGAACAGAGCCAGGTATAGGTTTGCAACAGGACTATGCAGACAGCTCACCTGTGGGCTGTAGGGGAACACAGTGCTGGCCCAGGTGCCTCGCTCGTTCCTCACCTTGTTTTTTTTCATCTGTGTTTCCCTTCTTACCCCAGTATTACGTGTATGAGGTGTCCGATGGCAGCACTGCCGAGCGGCCCAGGCAGATCTGCCCGTACATAGTCGTCGCCTGCCAGTACAGGGAGCCGAAGGAAATGCCGGTCTTAGCTATAGAGAGCCTGTAAGCAACTTTCTGTTGTTTCAAAATACCTGGTTGCTTTTGTGGGCTGTTTTTCCTTTTCCTATTGCTAAATGTTCCTCTTTTTCTCCCTTTTCTCTAGACCTGAGTTAAATCACAAAGGTAGGAGCATCTGGTGGTTGGTTTTGTTTTATACATATACCTTTCTCTGTTTGCCCTCCTCTCCTCTCCTGCTTTCTCTGAGCTATTGTCCCTTTTGCCTGTAGCATTGTACTATCCATGGAGGGGGCAGCTTTCCATCCGGGGCCAGCTTTTGTGCAACATCGCCCTGAGGACCCCATACAGCTCCACGATTCCAGCCCAGCTGTAAGTTTCCCCTTTCTCTTCTTTCTGTGCAATTTGTGGAGTGTAAGGCATTACACCTTTGGGTGTCTGTGTACCAGAAAAAGCCAGTTTTGTCTTTCCTGCCCCATCCCTTCATTGATCAGCATCTTGCAGCTGTACCAACTTACTACCTGCACTGTCAGGGCAATCATCATATAATGTCATATAATAGTTTGGGTTGGAAGGGACCTTTCAAGGCCATCTAGTCCAAACCCCCTGCCATGAGCAGGGACATCTTGAACTAAATCAGGTAGCTCAGAGCCTCGTCCAACCTGACCTTGTGTCAGGAGAATGGTGTTGGGCACCCTGAATTGCAGCTGGACATGGCTGTATTTTGTCATCTCTTTTTGTTAACTGCTTTGGGAAGTTTATTCCAAATCAGTTATTCCTGCTTGGGATTTTTCTCCTTGTGAGAAGCGGGCACATATGGCGCACGTATGATCAGCCAGTTGTGTTTACAGACCGGCACAATGGCAAATAAGGTACTGAGGTAACTTGCATTCAAAAAACCAGAGATACTTAACATCTTCAGTAGTTGGAAGCTAACCAGCAGGCAGAAATTTGAAACAGCCAGTGACACAGCCACCAATATCAGTGTTTGGAGGTGTTAACAAACAGAATCTCAAATCAGCAAAGTGCTAAGCAAGCTGCACCTTCTCCATCCTTTTCCAGAGCTGCTTTCTGTGGTTTCACAGTGACAGAGCAACCAGGAGTCTTTGCTGTGCTTAATCCTGAGAGCCTTTCATGCTTGGGATCTCACTGTCTGCTGCATTATCCCCACAGGCCTCCCAACCTGGACATTAACCATGTCATGGGTTTGTCTGACTTGAAGAAAAAGCTACCAGAAGCTGTGTTTGGGAAAAGAAATTACATTGAGAATGAAGGTGAGTGCAAAACCTATCGGCATGATGAGTAACATAGGCTTGTGCTGTGCCATAGGAATTGCCACAGGGGGTCAGAGCTCAGGGTCACATAGCACTCTGTCCTGTCCTGATCACAGATAAGCAAGGAAGAACGCCAAGGTAGCACAGGGATGTTTTCCTGTCCACACTTTATATAGTCTCCTGGTGTGATATAGTCTTCTTCACAAAGCAGCCCTTTAATCAGCCTGTTCCTGGGACAGGACAGGGTGGGAGACCCTGTTTTGAGACTTGGGCTCCCATCCTGCAAGGTGCCAAACACGGTGCAACTGAAAGCAAATGCAGGGAGACAAACTTTCCCCTTCTTATATGATCTCCCTATGAGGTGAGGGACACTCCACCTCTTAGGGTATGATCCAGCATCTCCTGCATTTGGACAGATGGGGTGTAGCTGCCACTATGGGATGTGGCTGCCTGCAATAGCTCTGCAAGTAGTCACAGGTAACCTGGAGAAGAGTCCAGAGATCTTGGGCAGAGGCAGGGAATGCTCAGCGATAAGAAAAATAGAAGCATGTATTTGGGGAACGGAGAGAAACTGTCTCTGTTCTACTGACAGTAGAACTGACTGTCTACTGTCTTTTTAGCAGTGCTGAGACACCCTACTTGCCTGTAGTCAACCACTCCTTGTCCTAGTCAGGGCAGGGTGGGGAGGAGGGGACCTGTGTCTAATTAGACTTTGGGGTTTGTACTGCTGATTGCTTTTTGAGTTGGAGTTCTGACAAGCCTGGCAGCCCTCAACCTCGGGTGTTGAGCTCCTGATGGCTGTGAGTAGCTGCACATTGCAGCAGACATGCAGTTACTGACACCAGGTTGCACAGGGAGAGCTCTGGATGTGATTTGCAGAAGCTCCAGGTGCATTTCCATGCCATCTTGCACCAAAATAAGTGTGGACTGCTGCAGTGTTACCACCCATCTATGTATCAGCTCCGCTGAGCGAGGCCAGTACACTGATCAGGCTGGATGACAGCCAGCTTGTTTTGGGGTTTAGCATTTTGCTCACATTGCAGATCGACACATGATAGTGCCAGGGGCAGGGGAGGAGGCAGGAGAAGTGGGGAAGGCCACCACACTTGGTGAAAGGTGACGTGGAGCCACAGTCTTACAGTCAACTGATAAGAGAGAGGAAATGTTTGAACAGAAGAATTTCACTGCAAAATTCGGGGGGGTAAGGTGGGACCAAGATCTTGCCTTTGTTAAACTCCTTTGGGGATCAGAGTGTGGAATAAGGATGCTCCATAGCAGGGGAGAGTATGGCATGTTAGAATGAGGTATTTTCCTCTGAAAGGCACCCTGTCTCTGTTGAAGGACACAGCATTGGTTAAACTGCTTTTGTTAGCTGCAGTGATAAGATAGGAAGCATCTCCTGAGAACCACGGGTTGAAGAGGAAACTCACTGCAATATGAATCCCTATACCAGCTTAGGAAATCTTGATAAGGTTTTTTTTAAACCCAGTGCTTCCACCAATTGCACACCCATCTTCCTGGTACAGGAGCACTTCTTTGTTCAGAGTTCATGCAAGAGACACTGTTTTAACATCAAATTCTCTCTCTTTTGTCTGCAGTCTGCTTTCAGGGTGTTTACTTCAGTCTGTATGAAGTAGAAATATCAAATAAGGATCAGTATAAAATGGATCAGTTAGTAGCAAATCTAAAGGAAAAGGACTTGGTAAGTATTTTAAAACATTTACATTCTGGGAGGAAAGTGGCCTTTTAAATGATCTCTTGAAACTTTTGGTAACATTATTCACAAATTCTGAACTAACGCAAAATGGAATGGATTTCCTTGCTTTAAGTATTATTTTCCTGCTTTGTTATTCTCAAACATAATTTAGTCTTTCTGTATTTAAACTGTTAACTGAAGATTACCCACTCTAAACTGGGAACTGATTTCTCAGATGAGCATGCTCGGCTGAGCAGCAGGCATTGTACCAGGCCAACCTCTTCTTCAGCTATGTTTATGCCAGATGAGATTATTTTATTGTCTTTTATTAATTATTGTCCCCCTTGCATTGCAAACAGCATGGTGGACAAGGACTGCAAGAGCATCTCAATATATTAAGAAAGCAGAAGCAAAGTCCCCCAATGCCAAAAATGATAATTACTAAGTGAAATACATAAGTTGTCACGTGCCTCCCTTTCTCTCTCATGGCTGAAAAATAGTCCCTGCTCAGCTACGTACTCACAGTTACACTGCCAAAACCTCATGGGAGCTCTGAAGATGTTGAGATTTATCCTTTTTTTCAAATGGGGAATTTCCCTTGTGATATATTCTCTGATAAGGCTTTTTTTCAGCACACTGGGGTCTATTTGTTCCCAGTGTGATTGTCATGTCTCCTTGTGACCACAAGGGATGAACTTCACCCCTGTGGAGCACAGCACCTGCATCCCTGCTGGGATTTGTGGTTGGATTGGCTTTGGCTTTGCTGCTGGTGGTTGCTCTCTTACATTTGATGCTTCCTGTAGATTCACGGTTGTAAATTCATGGCTGCAAACTTGCAGCTGGCTGGGCATGTCCTCCCCTCACTATAAGATGGCAGCAGCCCATGAACGGCCTGGAATTGCTGTTTCTGTGCGGCACTGCTGAAGAGCTGCCCACCAGTATGTAACTTCCCGCATGTAACGTACGGGAGCAAATGTTTGTTGTGGATCCCTATAAGAAAAACACTCTGACTCTCTAAAGTATTGATTAAACTATCTTGTATTGGTAACAACATGAGAAGAAAAAAAAATGGCTTAGCAAAGGCAATCTTAGTGTCCCTTCATGTACAGGTAATCCTGAACTGTGCAGCATTAGCTGGACCTCTGGTTGGACTACAGATCTGTCCATGCTGCAGCTCATCTGGAGGTTCCCAGCATAGAATCATAGAATAAAATCATTGGGTTGGAAGGGACCTTTCAAGGCCCTCT